ATATATATATAGCCCTCCTTCACGCTCTGGTAGAAAACCACTACTGAGATGACTAATTAATGCTCTGATCAGACCTTCTGAATGTGCATTCTTCCCATATCTCATGCCTCAATCATCAATGTCACACATTATAGCCTTCAAACTGTTCTATTTATCATTCTGAATCTCATTCTCTTGAGCTGTTCTGAAGAATTAGACCAGTCTATTTCTCAAGAAACATACATACATGTTTGAGTCTGTGCCAAGCTAATCAAAAATGCTTGTAGCATTTCCATCATGGGCTTTGGATGAGCTCGCTCTAAGCTTGTTTAAATAACCAAAGTTTGCAAAGCAGCTGACGATTTCTGCTCAGGCGCATTTACAAAGTATGAGAGACAACTGTAAGTGCCAAATGCAGTCGGCTTTGCTTTCTGATGAGTGTGCTGACATATTTAACAGAGCAATTAAAACACATCACTCTGGGGTATTTTCTCTGCCTGGCTATAACAGGGTGATTTTGACACACTGTGAGGAATGATTGGTCGCTAAATGCATTACATTTACACATTTGGCAGATGTTTTTATCTAAATAACTTAAAGTGCATTTAAGGTACATAATTTATTATTCTGTGCATTGCCTGTGAATCCTTTCAGCAGGCATTACTCTAGTCTTCAGTGTCACATCCTTCAGAAATCTTTTTAATATGCTGATTTGGCCCTCAAGAAACATTTCTTCTTATTATGTTTAAAATGGTTGTTCCGCTTGATATTTTTGTGGAAATAGTGAATTTAGTTTTTTTCAGGATTTGTGAATTAATTTTTTTTTTTAATTCAAAAGAACAGCATTTATTTGAAATAGAAATCTTCTGTAACATTAAAATGTCTTTACTGTCACATTGGATTAATTTAAAGCAAAAAAAAAAAATCGTACTGACCGCAAATTTTTGATTGGTAATGTATATAACCAATGTGTTGTATCATGTCTTCTATCATTTTTCATGCAATTTTAGTACCCAGTTAGGGTGAGGTTCTCAATAAAACAGAGCCCCAAGACATGTAAAACATAGTAACAGTGGCGTCAGCGGTCTGTGAGTTTTCACAACCTTGAGATTGACTGATTACTGCAATATCAGAAGTTTGTTAGTAAAATGAAGACACATGATAGAACAAGCCAACCATCATCAAAAACAGAATAAATAGCAGCCATATGACATAATGTGCAAAAATTGTGCCTTTAGCTTGTCCCATGGGCCGTACCTTAAAAATTACACTGTTGACTGCATATTAGTACTTTAAGATACTAACATGTACTTAAGGTAATAATAAACACTTTTTAGGGGTAAGGTACAAATATGCACTTTTGAGGATGCTGCCTCAGTAACAAGCTGTTGTAGCTCTAAAGGGACAATTTCAAATATTTTTTCTAAAAATTATCTTATATAAAACAATAATAGAACACTTCTGATGTGGAATCATAAGCAGTTTCATGTGCAGAGCTGGGAAATCAGCATAGCTTAAAGTGGAGAAAAGCAACTTCTATAAGAAAAGCAATGAGAAACTATTATGGCATATACCTTTGTGCTGCCATCCAGCTCCTCACTGTTGGAAATTGTGGTGTTGAATGCTTCGGTGTGCTGCGGAGCAAGCTCCTTCGGCCTCTTACGCATCTTCCTGCCTTCAGCCCACCCTAGAAGGATGCACTGGCTCCAGAGCACTGCCGTCACCACAGCTAGCAGCCAGCAACGCATCTTCAGCCCACCAGCCAGGACACCGTAGTTGGGTCAGAAAGCAGACTCTTTCTCACTGCGGGAAGTTCTCGACTTCGAGAAATACAAAGGAACAGCGAGATGTCCCCAACGCTTGACCTCACTGGAAGAAGAATACTGTAATAGGCAGGCAAAGTGATTAAGGGACTTGTCCACTCCACCTGATACCTCAGCCTGGTCTTGATCTTCTCAACTGCCAGCAGTGTGAAGCAAGGGCTCTTTAGGCAAAAACAAAGCAAAGCTTACTCGACTATGAAATGTGTCAAGTGTAGAGTGGTCCTGGGAAATGACAGGTCGTCGCTGAGCTGACAGCAAATAAACCCATTAGTGAGATTTTTCACGCTTCCTGCCCCATGGGGGGGTAGCAGAGGGCAACTGAAGAAGGTCCCAGTTTTGAAAGGGGGGGGGGAGTGGATGGAAATTACTCAGATTCCCTCTCACTTTCTCTCTGGTTCTTTACCTCCGTCTCACTCCTACTGGGATGTGGAGTCTCTGCAGTGATGCATCTGAGCCGATTTTCTGGTAAGCAATGCTGAGGTCTTGCCCCATCAGTCTTCACATGTGCTTCCTTCTTGAAGCCGAGGTGGGGGAAAAAAATGTCCTGAGGGAATTGGAAGTTGGAAACACTCCAGTTTTTGTAGCTTTTGGCCTTCTCTTGCCTTTTTTTCCTTGCAGGGAAAAAAACGGTCCCCCACGGCCAACTTCAAAGCAGAGAAGCACTTGACGGGACGATCGCACCTAAATGCATCAGCCCAGTTCTGCAGGGTGACAAAAACACATGCACGCTCACCTCAAAGTGCGAGATCTGTGTGGACTTTGTGGTAGGTCTTGCTCACAGTTGTGTTTTCACCCTCTCCAGATCTTATGCTGTTGCTCCTGCACTCTCTCACTCTGCTTACAGGAGGGCTCGCAGCAGAGTTTATCACAGCCCCCTCTCTGTCTCTCGCTCTTTCTCTCTCTCTTTCTTTCTGATTCCCCTGCTTCTCTTTTCCTCATCAGTGAAACTGGCAACCTCAGTGGGCTCAGCCCTGTTTTATCTCACTAATGAAATACTCAAGTCTTGAGGGAGAGCTCTTTGGCAGGCAGACTCTAGGGAATGCGTGTTCATGTGTGTAGGTGTAAATCTGTGTGTGTGTGTGTGTGTGTGTGTGTGTGTGTGTAGTGTAGTGTCCTACTTTGCAGTAGCTCTCTACATGTGACATTTAGTCTCAGAAAATTCAAACAACTCAGAAAAAACTGCTTCAAGGCAGTAAAGTGATGTTTGACCAGCTGACTAGATATCTGGGTCTTTTAGAGAAGAGCTGAATGTTTATATGAATTGATGTGGAGTCACCTAATAACTAGAACTACATCCATCTGCATGTACAAATACTAAGATGACTGTGTCAGAAACATATTCCACAGTACAAACAATATTTTCCCATTATATGCAACAACTTGCAAAACATGGCATTTAGGGTGAGTGTAATTTTAGTGATCCTGATAGTATTTCTACAATACAACCACAATCTGTTCATGTTATTGATCAATTATTGTGCTTACTGTTACACATTAATGTAAAATGCATGATCGTATTAATCTAAGTGACAAATTACATTATGCAGATTTGTGTAACTTTGTTAAGTGTACAGTACTGTCTCTCAGTAGAGCAACAATACTGGGAGATATCCTACATGCCTTGGTGCTCTTCCCCCCTCTGGTGGCTGGAAATAAAGATACAGTAACAAATTCATTTCTGGACAAAATTTGGTCAGTCTAGTTTTTTATGTATATTAACTTAATATGCAAATGTCATGTATATTAAATCAATATACAAATTGCATATAATATATATATATATATATATATATATATATATTGTTGTTTTAATGTGTTATAATACAGTAAAACAACAATATTATGAAAAATTTATACAATTTAAAATTACTGTCTTCAATTTTAACATATTATAAATTGTAATTTATTCCTGGGATGGGAAAGCTTAAAAGTTTGGGGTAAGTATTATACAAAAAAATATTGTTTGTTCTATATGTTTCTAACACTCTCAGTATGTATACATGCAGCTGGAGGCATTTCATGTTATTAGATGACTCCATATAAATTAATTTAAATGCTCAGATCTTCTCTAAAAGAACCAGATCAGTCAGCTGGTCAAACATCACTTTTACATCACATTGCTTTAAAGCAGTTCTATACCAGTTGTTTGATTTCTCTGAGACTATTTTAAATATTTCATATTATTTCACAATATTATTGTTTTGTTTTATTGTGTTTTTGATCAAATGAATGCAACCTTGGTGAACATTCTAACTATTTTATCTATTTAGTTCATTTTACCTATTCATTCTTCTTCTCTGGGCAAAGGTAGCACACTAGTGCGCAGGTACTTCTCCATCACACAGAAAAATAGCACAACTAGGGACTGATTAACCTCAGGGTCTATCGGCCACCACATTTTAATCGTTGTACCAGGTCCAGGCCTGGTATGTGATGCATCATGGATTCTCAAGCACATCATGTTCATAATTAAAACTTTATGTATTTTCTGTAACTGTTCAACAGGCCCCCAATAGAGAATAACAAGAAGCTAATGTGAGTCTGAGATATCTAAACAAGTAAGGCTTTCAGCACAGATCGTGAGAGAAAAAAACTGATATGAAAGGTAAACAGACATTTGTCTCAGTGTATATTTCATAGGCATTGGTCTGCTGGTACAGTAGATGGCGATATGTGCGCGGTATCCGCGTTATCCCTCACCTAATGTTACACAAGAAGAAGACACGCGATCCTGACAACGTAGCAATGTTTCTTTGCTCAACGCCTTCCTGGTGTAAGTCCTCGTGAACTCTTGCGGTCATCGGTCTGTCCTGTATGTGTTTGTGTGTTATCTGAGTCCAGAGAGGGAGGACGTCGCGTTCAGGGCCATAAACCGCTCCAGCGAGCAGCGTTTGGTCTCGAGTGGCGACGTGTACAGGAACTGCGCGGTGAGCTGCACATAAACAGTCCGCTCAAGCTGCTTTAAATACAGCAGGCCACTGGCTTCTGTTCATTCATCTGATACTTAATTTTTGGAAAGGACCGTTCAAACGTACAGGTAGGTAACGTTAGCTTATTATTTATTTCCGTTCACAAGCTGCATTGAGACAGGTGTTGTCAAACATTATGTGCTGATTCATTACTGCTTCAGTACTGAGTAGGCTAATAAACGCTAACTAATAAATTAATGGGTATAATTCTGTCAGTCCACCGCGTCCTAAAGAAGTCTTTCATATTTGATATTGCTCTCAATATTTAAAAAAAGCTGATTTAAGCTGGTTTCCCAGTCTGACCATGCTAAAGTGCTCAAAATCCATTTAAAACCAGCAAATAATTAAGACTGGTGTGTTAATATATATATACGCTTATGTTTGCTTTAATGTGATTTTATTTTTCTTTTCGTAATGCTCCTACATCTGTTTAAGCAGTAAAACCATGTCTAACCGGAGAAGATCTCAGCCTCAACTTTTGTGCACCTCAACTTTGGCAGTATTTGCAATGCTGGCTTTGAATGTTCAGGCCAGGCCAGCAAATATGTCAGCGTTAAAAGACAAACACCCCAACAGCAAAGAGGACAATGAGATCCTTCCACCTGACCATCTTAACGGTGTGAAGATGGAAATGGACGGTCACCTCAATAAAGACTTTCATCAGGAGGTGTTTCTGGGGAAGGAGATGGAGGAGTTTGAGGAGGACTCAGAGCCCAGACGGAACAGGAAGAAACTTATTGAAATCTTTACCAAGTATGTACACAGCTGTGGAAACAATGCGATTTTCCCATGATGTGCTTTGGGTGTCATTCTAAAGGCATTTCTGGTTTAACCCAATGAACAGTGAGCAATTATTGCAAGTTGTGATGAAACGGAAGTAGATGACAGATCTTTTCTTCTGTAATGTGACATACAACTGAGTGAAACGGATAGAAAAAATGTAAGGCGGGGTTCTGTTGATTGGATAGAGGCAGCTCTTAATGCAAGCTTGCAGTCAAAAGAACAGGGTTTAAGTAGACAAAATGATTGAAGTCCCTCATACATCACCAGAGAGAAGTCTGGTATCTTTGTCGGAAGATTGAGTTATGATATTTTGATTAAATTACAAGCTAAACAAAATTTGAATAAATAAAAAATCATGAAACATATGTATGGATGTATTGTTCACAATAAGATGCATTTAGAAAAAAGGGTGAATTTCCATTTCATGCTGACTTTAAAAACAATCAATCCTATGCATTAAGCAAATGATTGATTACTTTAAAGTGTTGATGCCATAAATATCTTATCACCTAATTTCACCTAATCGTGCCTATAGCTGCATCATCAAACCTTTACTCTCTGTTTCTAGGGTGGATATTAATAAAGACAGGAGTGTCAGTGCTAAAGAAATGCAGCGCTGGATCATGGAGAAGACAGAAGAACATTTTCAGGAGGCCGTTAAAGAAAACAAGCTCAGTTTTCGTGCTGTGGACCCTGATGGGGATGGTAAGTGGATGTTGTTATTTAGACCAGTGGCATAATGAAATTATTTGTCAAGTAGGGATATGTTGAAATAGATTTCAGGTAAGTTTAAACATGATTTGTAGTTAGAAAGGTTTCCTGTGTTTTACTAGAGCAAAATAATATGTATCCTGTTTTTGACATCTGGCATGATGATTTCATAACACTTAACAATGGTCTTGACTGCCAATTTCAATTGAATCTGCTCAAATTGTTCTCTCGCAGGACATGTAACTTGGGATGAATACCGTGTGAAGTTTTTGGCCAGCAAAGGTTTTAATGAAAAAGAAGTAGCTGAGAAGATAAAAAACAATGAAGAATTGAAAGTGGATGAAGAAAGTAAGTTGCAATGTAGAAGATGTGTTTGCCTGATATGGTCTAGTACTCATAACAAAGCCATTTAAAATGATATGAATAAAATATGGCCTCACTACAGCTCAGGAGGTTCTGGAGAGCTTGAAGGATCGCTGGTTCCAGGCAGATAACCCTCCAGCTGACCAGCTGCTGAATGAAGAGGAGTTCCTCTCGTTCCTGCATCCAGAGCACAGCAGAGGCATGCTGAGATACATGGTCAAGGAGATCGTCCGAGATCTTGGTAAGCATATAAATCTGAAATTCATACCCAAGAAATGGCAACACATTTCTTGTGATTCTTATTGGTAAACAAACCCTATATGTTTTCTAAACAGATCAAGATGGAGATGGAAAGTTGACTCTTGCTGAATTTATCTCCCTCCCCATGGGAACTGTGGAGAATCAGCAGGCCCAAGACATCGATGACGACTGGGTTCGTGAAAGGAAGAAGGAGTTTGAAGAAGTCATTGACGCTAACCATGATATGATTGTAACCATGGAAGAGCTGGAGGTTGGTCCTCTTTCATAAGTGCTGTTAAACGATAAGAATACATTTATAGCATCTCATTTGAATGAATATCTGTGCCTTGCTGATATTCCTTCTGTCAAACAGGAATACATGGATCCTATGAATGAGTACAACGCCCTGAATGAAGCCAAGCAGATGATTGCTGTGGCGGATGAGAACCAAAACCACAACCTGGAGCTAGAGGAGATCCTTAAATACAGCGAGTACTTCACTGGCAGCAAACTCATGGACTATGCCCGTAACGTACATGAGGAGTTCTAAGACGGTCTCCTCAAGTCTTCATGAATTAGAACAGCATGTATATATCCCTAAAGTGTCAAGGATGATCTTTGCTTGCTTCCCAGACTGGGATCAACAAGTGCATTCGGACATGTTTGTAAATGTACAAAACTTCAAGCCACAAAACCTTCTCTAATGTTGCAATGCGCAGATATGACACATTATTAGGACTTTGCCTTCATAATGTCATAGACGTGATTTCCATTTGAGCACCATAAA